TATATAATTTTATAAATTTATTTCTTAATTTTTATAATAAAAATATTTTATTTATTCTTTATACATATTAATTTTTCAGTTCTTATACTTTTATAAACTTAGTGTGTGTAGAAATAGATGGTAAACATTAAAAAGAAACAAAAAGTGAGATGTACAAAAATTAAAATGAAATATTTCTTACTATTATAAAGATAAAGTCAAGAAAAGTACAAGAATGAAATGCAAGTGAATGAAGAAATTATTTGCAAAGTAGAGACTAAATTGAAGGTAAGGGGTTAGAGTTTTGGGCGTGAAGAAAAGAAATCATAAAAAGTAAAAATTCGGGGGACTGATTTAGAAATTTTCATGAAATAAATCCAAAATAGCCCTTGAAACTTGTAAGCGTTTTCGGCGTGAAGAAAACCACTTCCTTTTTCTTGTAACTTCTGCTGAGTACATATCACAAACACAGAGTTGCAGTGTTTCGCTTTCGCTTTAGATTTCTGATTCACAAAACTTGGTACTTTGTTGTGTCAGAAATGAGTGACCCCAAATATGCCTATCCATACCCTGCCCAACACCAAGGTAACACACATAACTTTCATCCTCTTCTCTTTTCTGGGATATATAAAAACTTCATTTTTTGGTTCACTGCTCTTTCTTTATTTACAAAATTTTGTTGGCAGGGTATTATCAAGGTCCTCCAGTCATGGCACCCCCACAATATTATGCTGCTCCACCACCACCTAGAAGACAAACTGGATTCCTTGAGGGATGGTTAGTTTAGTTTCCATTTTTTATTATCACAAGGAATTTAAAAAAGAAAGAATTTTCTTTTTGTCAACTTTCTATTACTTTGTGTAATTGACCCAATTCTTCTTTCTTATTTCCTCAGTCTTGCAGCTCTGTGTTGTTGCTGCCTCATAGATGAGTGCTGCTGTGACCCCTCAATCATATTTATCAGCTGATAGCATCAATAATCAAAGTTGCTGCAGCAATTAATCTAGTGGAAAAAAATAAAATAATAAACAATATGTAGTGTGATGTGATGCTTGTGTAGTTGTATATTGTTACTCTGTCTACAACTTATTACTTATGTTGGTGTTTGATTGATCATTAACATGGTTTCTTTCCGATCCACTTAGTCTTTCATGTTCTTGGTGTGGTTCTGCCTCTCCGGTGATTTGAATTGTAATGTGGAAGACAAACAATTATTGTGAATTCAATTGGGTCCCTCTGTTCCCCCAATTATCTTGTTCTTTTATTTATTTTAATTTCGGGTTGTAATATGCAGTCTTTTTTCCCTTCAAATCAAATATGACAATTTTTTTTAACTATAAATTATCTATATAAATCGAAATATAATTTATATAATTAAAAATATCTATTTATATAAATTTTAAATATAATTTATATATTTAAACATAATATTTGTTTACGTATAATATATTTTAAGTTAATATTTAAAAAATTAATTAAGTTTAATCGACATGTATCTCAACAAAGACATGTATCTACACCACTTGTCTAACAACTTAACATCTTAATCAATTGTAGCATCATACAACTTCACAACTTAATCATTTATCAACTTACAACTTAACAACACAAACATCATTATCTAGTATATCAACTTGAAACATAATGAGCTATCACTACATCATCTCCATCATACAACTTAATGATCATCTTTCAATCATGAAACAACTTAAACATCACATTAAAATCATGCAACTCGCACTCGATGTCATCCCCTTGGCACCCAATGTAGTTGAGGTAGAGGGTTTCCTACTCTTTTGCGCTTGGCATGGAAAAAAGCCCACGCCCGACCCCAATCAAGTAGATGTCCATCACCTAATTCATTTCGACGGTACTCTATCGTCATTCGATGTCAATCCAAACATAGATGATTCTTTCTTCTTGCACTCGATGCCATTTAAACCACGTTCGGTGCCATTCAAATTGCACTTGATGTCATTTAAACTGTGTCTAGTGAAATTTTAACCTAAGACAATTCTCTCTCACGTTCGATGTCACCAATCATGCATATGACGTGAACAAGATAGATCGATGCCCCTTGATTGCCTGGCACCTTGAAGGTGTGCCCAACGTGATGCGATTTTTTGTACTTATGCAAGAACTAGATTGGCCAATCTACCTAGAACTCAACAAAAAAATTCAACATGCATTCATCATGGATCAATAATCAACATATTCAACTCATAACTTCAAGAGAACCCCCAACTTCATAAATCATCATCTCATGGATTTCCATCAACAACAATTATAGATCAATGATTCTAGGCAACAACCAATCACCATACATCAATAATTATTCAAAAACAAGTTTCCCTTACCTCTAGTAACTTCAAAGAGAAACAAAGAGGAAGAAGTAGAAACTCTTTGCACGGTTCTGACTCAAGATCTTAAACTCCTCAAGCTTGTATCTCCTAGCTCAAATAGGTGGATTCGATTATAGGAAGGTAGAAAGGAAAGGGTTTTTAGTCAAAAAGATGGAGAAAGATATTTGGGTTTAGAGAACTTCTTTGTAACTTATCTCTATAATTTTTGAAAACATAAATTTATGAGGTTCACATCTTAAGAAAAATTTTATATACCCTTCTTGGGGCTGAACCACCATACTTGAGACTCTTAGAGGTAACCTTACTCTCAAGATCCTTTGACACCAAAGTTCTTAAACAGTAGCTCTCAACCACTTACAACTAATGATACCATTAATCATATACATTAATTAAACATCACAAAATATAAAATGTTACATATATATATTCAAAGTTTGATCTAATCTAACCTATTTTTATCCCTTTTATTCCTATCCCTAAACACGACCGATAAGGTAAACATTGGTTAGAGGGGCATTAACTAAAGGAAGTGACATGAGTATGACATGAATTGGGTGCATAAATAATGATAAATTAATGGTTTGCCTAATAAGATTCATTTTTTTTCATCATTTTCATTAAGTGATACCTATATCGCTAAGCAAGAATGTATTGTTTATAGCTAGTCCTACATCCTACTAAAGTTTGTTGAGCGAGAAAGCCTAGAACATTTCAAATACAAGGCAATAGACCAAATCAAACACATCAACAACTTTAATTGTAACATAAAAACATCATTTACATCATCTAAACTTCCATGCAATTCAATGTGCAATAAAAAATTAAATTCTCCGTGAAGCAGGACCCAAATCCAAAACCCCAACCAAGATAAATGCTTTAAAATCACAACATTAAGTCATCATCTTGCTACAAAATCATGCCATACAACAAGTTACAATATCAACCAACAACAAAACTAGTTTATTTTACCTTGATCATCTTCCTATAAGTTTGAATAAGAAAAAAGGAGTTTTAAAAACCCCTCAAGAACCCACTTTCACACCTGTACTATCCGTACTGCGAAGTCGAGCTCCAAGCTCGGCACCACAACGCAAGCTGACCTCGGACGCGCACTGCGTGTCGTCAGCTCAACATTTAAGTGAATCACAACTGATTCCCGAGGATCTCGCCCCGGACAAGATCCGTTAGCTAATCATGTTATATCTTATCTCAGGCCCAAGGCCCAAGGCAACCCAAAATCATACCAAGGTACGTGCATTACTTATACGAGACATATACTCATACAAACCCTAACTTTAGCATCGGAGTCTCTTTGGCAGGTATCACCCCCATCTTGGAGCATCAAGCGTACCAGCGAAGGAGGCTCACCGATCTTACCTGGCGGATCAGCTCTACAGCAGATTTCCGGTAAGAACAACACCTAAGATTCAAGCTCTACATATCAACTATCAACGCATCATTTTTACTTCAAGAGAATAAATTAAAAGTTATTGGAGGGATCATATGCTTGTTTCTCAATACTCCTTTATCTGGTTTATCTCTTTAAAAATTTGAAAATGAAACTGATGAAGCTCCAATTTTCATTTTTCCTATTTATACATCAACCTTCTCATGACCAACTACATTATTTTTCTTAGACTAAGGTTTCATAACTTAGCTCTAGGTTTTTCTCATCCATGTGTTCCCCTTAAACAACCATAACATACAACATAAAATCATATAATCAAGCAATAACATACATGAACAACAATAGTTTTACAATTAGGATGGCTAACATTTATGAAGACATGGGAGGGCCAAAAATGAAGGCTAGGTCTCTAATTGCACGAAGAAATAAAAGGAAGAGCAAAAAAGGAATAAATACATAAGAAAATAAGGTCACAAGTAGTGATTGAATAATCAATTATATATTTTATTTAAATAACACTTGTGGGATGGTGTCAAGACACTTTATATATATATATATATATATATATATATATTAAATAAAAAATAAAAAAAAGAAGATAGAGAAGAAAAATTTAATATGAAAGATGGCGAATTAACACTCATTGCATTAGTTACGGAAAAAAGAGAGTAAATCCAATTTACATTTTTGAATTTGCACGTTAATTAACGGTGATTTTATTTAAATGAGTTGTAGTTATTAAAGGAGAAAGTGTATAAATAAGAATAAAACTAAAAATATTTGAAATAAATATAAATAAATTATTTATAGGGTAATCATGTCTTAAAAAATTTGAAACTAATAAATGGCATTCCCTTTATCTATCATTACACACAAACACGTATACACACGTACACACGTACACATTAGAGTAACCATGTTATTAGTACAAAGTATCATCTTTGTCAACAACTGATCCCTATCTAACCACCTTTAATGGAGTCTCTCCTTTTAACCACATTTTATCCGTACACAAGACTCGAATACAAGACCTTACTTAAGAGAATAGAGTCCAATATCTCTAACCAACAACTTGCTTATATATATGTGTGTGTATATATGGAGAAAGAAAAATCCACTTACTCTAATAATAAGTTTTAGTAGACTTGTTTCACTCAATAACTCATATTTTACATCAAATTTTAACGATTTAATTGTTGAATTAAAAGTTCTTATTGTATATATTAAGTTTGCAAAATTTTAAAAATAATTAAAAAAATATTTGATAATTCATTTCATCAATTCAAATTGATGATAATCATTAAAATATTTTGTATGTTAATTTAAATCTAATTAATAAAGGTATCAAATAATTTTAAACTTTTAATATTCTAAAATTTAAAATAATAATTAAAGAATCAATAACGCAAAAATGATTAAAACTCAAATTTAAAATGTATTAATAATAATATTTTGATATTCTATTTTTTTTAATTTTTAACCTATATTTTTAAAAGAAAAAATATATAGACTGATCATATGAATAATTTTACATTATTTTAATTATAAACTATCATGTATGATAAATTTATTGATTTGATAAATTTTTATTAATTAATAGTGTCACAATTTTTATATTAACAATAAATTTAATGGTAATATTATTATAGATCTTACATGAATTAATGATGCAATCAATTTTATTTATATATATATATATATATATATATATATATAAGTGGTAGAAATTTTTTTTTTAAAATGATAGACAATGAACAATATTTTTATTAATTTTATAATAATTATCTTAAAAATAATTTAACTATAATTTATAATTTGTGTTTAGTACTTCATGGTATAAATTTTTTTACACGGAAGATGTATCACTGTTAAACTCAATTAATATAGTATTTTAATTTTGTCGTACGTGGTAGATTTGAATCATCCAATTTTGTAAATGTGGTGATAAGTAAAGAAAAGAAACGAAAGTGTGTTTGGAAATTGGAAGTGATGGGCAGTCTAATCACATCAAAATCTGAGAACGGCCCCCAATAATTGATGCAGAAAGGAGGTTCATGTCATGACTCCTTACATAAAGTCTTCCAACACCCCTGCCCTTCATCAATCATCCAATGCCATTCTCAAAAAATACCTTCATTTAAACATTTTAATCAGACATTTTCATTTTGGACGCATTTGATTCCAAAGGTTTTTTGTTAAGATAATTGTTATATATTCCCTCAACTCGAGGGCTCATGCCACACTAACTGCATCCATTGTCTCTTCGTATATGCTTAAAGCAAATTAAAATAGTAAAGCATTTGAACTTTCATTTCATTGGGTAAGAGAGACTTTAGCCAAAACAAGTTAAAAGAATAATAAGGCACTCTACGATAATTACTACACGGGAGGGTACTTGGTTAGTCCTTTTTCGACATCCAAATAACTAATCCATTGTAAAACGAAGCTACTTTGTGTCATTTCCTTGTTAGGGAAAT